TAATCTGGGGCAGCTCGTCCACTCTTGGCGTGCCAGTCGTGAAGAGGTCTTTTTATTTCTTCCTATGGCATGCACAGTTAAATACCGCTAATGTTCTCAGTAAACGCCATGACTATCTGGAATATGCTACCCAGAAGTATTAAAACTCAGCAGAGCTATCCTTTGTGTAAGTCAGATATCACTAGTTTTCTACATTCAGGACAACATTCACGAATTTTGTGTACTGACTCGGTGGAATCTCTCCTTCACTCAGATGGTGCCCGTGGACTTTGAACCCTGCTAGGCATTACGCTGAGGACAGTGGTGCTGAATCTGCAGCCTGCAACCGGCTGATTCTTAAGCTGACAGCGAACGACCGTTCGCAGACACACATACTCCTGGTGCAGAATCTCCAAAAGATAAAACAAGAGACTGAGAACACTGTGTTCCTGTGTCAACCCTCCCCCGTCCCGAACTTCAGTCACTCAACGAGCTGCAGTTTTTTCTGCTTAAAACTCATCTCGATCTATTACTGACATATCTTTCGCTAGTGTTGTACTTTTGAAGTCAGATGTTTTTCACTTAAAAACTAACTATTTCGCCTACTACTGACCAAGCGCAAATGTCCCCAAACTTTCCATCATTACCTCCGTCAGTCGTCCTTACAACCTAAGAAATTCCGCACTTACTATATCTCCACCTGCATCCTCCTCATCTATACGCTTTTTGTTCTTTGCTTCCAGATATGACTTTCTTTGGAATAACTTGCCAAATAAAATAAGGTCGTTAATTAGTTTATCTACTGTCAAGCGATGACTGCACACTTACCTTAACACTGATTATATTAACTTTTTATTCCCCTTCTAACGAACCAGTCCGAACCATGGGTGTTTGAGCGTACCAAGGTCACTTATGGTGCGGATCCGGATGGGGATTGTGTGAACGTCTGTTGGTGAAGATGCCGGTTTTCCGTCTCTTTCCCTTCGCTTCAAAAGTTCTCTTCCCTATCCGTATCGCCGCTGCATTCGTTTCGTCGTCTCCTCATCGTCAGCACCACCATGGTCCTCATCCACAGTTGTCCACAGCACTGCACTCCCCACCGGTGTCTAATTGATATTCTGTGATTACTCCTCACTCCAAATGGATCATCTGTACAGCTTCTTGGTAATTCTTCGTATCGTATCTTCTCCCTCTTTACTGTTTACCATCTCTTTTATTAGTAACATATCCCATTAGTAGCTGCCTGGTGCTGCTTCCTTCCCCTTATGCGATTGTGTGTCGTGGTGATTGACAACCCCGTTCGGCGTTACTTCCGGAGAATCATATGCGTGAATTACTCGTTTAGGTGTGTGCCAACCTCGACATCCTTGGCTCGCTTTATTTCCTCATCTTTTCCAAGCAGCTTTCTCTATGACTCCGAGAAAGGAAAATCAGGAATTAAAGAGACCTTCTTGAAATTATTTTTCTCTACGTTGTGCGCCTTAAGAACCAGGATATAACATACCACCAGTCATTCAAACAACGATAGTCATAAGGACGTGCCCAGTAAAAACTGCTCACGTTTCGTTGGCTACTAAACACCATCAGAGTTCCATTTTTGTTCCTGAGATATCGAGGCCCCACAGCAAATGACGCATTTCGCAAGATTTCAATTCATGCGCCTTAGAAATCACGAGCAAACTATATATCAGTTTAATTATCTCATTTTGAGCAGCTACTTAAGTAGTAGCATGACCTACCCCTCTATCTTATTTCCTTAAGCAGTTTTTTTCTTACACTATTGTTGAAAATAGAGGCTCGTTGAAGACTGCCTCCATCTTCGGCGCAGGAGTTTTCCTTCCCTATTTCATAGTCAAAATAAGTTTCAAAAAAATTACTAATTATTGCCCTTAAAGGACAAATTCTGCTTAAATTGTTGCGAATTTGTACATTTTATCTGCGCATATTGTCATAATTTAACTCCAATGCCAAGTTTTTTTAGATACTCCCTTCACAGCGCTAGCAAATGTTAATGCTAAATTATAAAAGTTAAGTTGCGAAGAGTCCACGGCGAGATTGAATTCATCCATTCTTATGAATAGATTGCAAACATTTGTATATCAGTGACATCCTGCATTGTTGTCTTGATTTCTGAAATTCGTTTGTTGGTGCTCGCATCTCACAATAACTACTGGATATTTCGTACTGCATATTTAGTCCCCCATCCAGGCTAAAAGTACAGACATTTGCGGTGCGAATAACCAATGAGATTACCGTCAATTTTACTGGATGATCCCACAAATACGATCCACCGGTTTTTGCGATTTTGTTGTCGATTACTTTTCCTTCC